GCGGGGTTGTGGTTGGGTTGGTAGGGTTATCAAATATACGTGAAGTTACAGCCATTGTATATTTTTGATATCATAGATTCGGTAACGCGGTGAGAGGAAATGCCGGCATGGTGTTGGGTGCAGGGCGGGGGGCGGAGTTGGGGGTGCCTTGGGGTGTGTGTGACGCGGGGTGAGTGAGGGGTGCTTCTAGTCTTGTGGTGGCAACATTGGGATGCGCCCAAGTAATTGTTGCTCATGGCCGGGCCCCTGTGGGGGGGGTGTAATATTAATTATATTATGTAATATAAAAAATAAAGGCTGTGCGGGAGCACAAGCTACTCGCCGCCCGGTGTGCGGTGGGGAAAGAGCGTGGAGGTGTTGGAATCCAAATAGACTCGGGGGGCAGCGTGCCTAATTGTACCGGTTGGCGGGGGCGGGAAGGGTGGCGTCCTCCTATCCCGGGCAGAAGGGGGGTGTTGCAAACGTAGCGCACCACGCCGCCGCCTACGACGTCTGACTGAAGGCCGTAGCAGCCGCGTTCGCCGGCCCGGCCACTGTTGAATCTCAACGGCGGTGTCCCGCCCTGGGCAGTACCACTAGGGCCACTCGCAGAACCGTCCTTACACGGAGGGGGGCGGACCGGTCCGTCGCGCGCCACCCCGCACGCCCAGTCCCCCACGCTTCCTCTGCGGCAGTCACCCCGGACGGCGCCCCCCGCGAGGACCCCCCACAGGTCCCCAACGGCAGCTCCAGACCACCCCAAGGCTCGGGCCCCAGCAAAAAGGCGGCTGTACAGAACATGGAACAGTGGCGGACCGCGGCGAGGAACCTCTCAGGGAACCACCAAAGAACAGGGCGCCTACTTATGCCTGCACGGAACATGGGGCCGTCCCGGGTCCTCGAACCCACACCCCGCCCTCCACCCACCCCCCGCGGTGTGGACGGCCCATCGCGTCAGTCGGTCCAGGTCACGACGGACCGACAAGAACCCGCACGAAAAACGTTTATCGCCCCAGCACACCATCCGGCACCCACCCGAAACATCCCCGACGCACACCACCCGATCGCCGGAAGCACCCCAGGGCCAGGCCTGGCAACAGGAGAGGCCCCCTTACCCTCGGCGGGTGAAAGCCAGGCGAACCAACACGCACTAAGGCCCCCCCACCTGGGGACTGAGAGGGGGGCGTGGCGACAGCAAATGGAAGGCGGCCCCGGGGTGCACGCTGCCACACAGGGGAGCCGGCCACCACGCCACACACGATGATGGGGGCTCATCGCCCAGCCGTGTCGTACCGGAGGGCCACTCAACAGGAACACACGGTCCCCCGGCTCCGCGAAGGGGGGGCGCACCGCGCGCACCCGCGGCGCACCAAAAACGGACGGCCACACCTGGCGGCGACAGTTCGTGCCTTCTTCAAAGGCGGGGCCCCCCCTCTGCGGCTGCTCCGGCCCGGACAGCACGGCCTCCCGGGCCAGGCTGGCATGCGCTCTCGCCGGCAACCGGTTGGTCCCCCCTGAGCTCGGGACGCGCCACCACGGTCCAGCAGGGGCGCTAGCCAGGGAACGACCCCGGAGAACCCCCTACCGGCAGGGAACAGACCCCCAGCCACGCGGGTGCCAGCCTGTCCGGCGTTCGCACGCTCCGCAAGCCGACCACGCACGGGCGCCTCACGCGTCTCCGTTGCCTCTCCCGCCCGGATTGACCACAGAAGCCGTCGGAGACCGAAGCCTCAGGAAAGTGGGGGACGGTTCATGGCGGGCAAGCCAAGAGCCAGAAGGACAACACAAGGTTGGCGTGACAACTACAAAGACGGGTACACCACAGACCATGCAACACGTAAGCGAAGGGGAGACAGGCATGGGGAGGCAACACAGGAAAAGAGGGACATAGATTCGTCACAGAGCACGCGGCCAAAATGGGGGAAAAGCCGAACAACCAGGGCGTGGTTAGAAGCAGGGGTTCAAGGGACAAGGTGGGAAAGAGACGAATTGCGGGTGCAAAGCGGGGCCCCGCACGCCTGGCCGAGTAGTGCCCAGCCGCGACGCAAGGGGCCGAGGAGGGGCACAGACCCGCCCCGGAGGACAACGAACGGCGCGGATACCCTTCGTACAAGACAGGGGGCATAGCAACGAAGACAGGGGCCGCCGAGCCGGGACGGACCGCAGACATCCTTGCGATGTGCGCCCTCAAACTCCTCCCACGAGGAAGCACAGAACCGAGTAGAAACGAGCGGGCCCCGGAGGACCGGAACAGGGGCAATGGGCGCTGGGGTCCGCCTTCCTCCAGACGACCGATGTTGCCCGCAGCGGGGACACCCACCGCCTGAGAGCCGCGCGCCATCTGGTCGCCCCCGCGCCCCCCACCCCCGCCCCGGCTCGGCGCGTCGCAGGTACTGGCCCCACGGCCAGCTTCCCGGACGCCCCTGGGACCGGAGAGCCGCGTTCGCACCTACACCGGTTTCGCGCGCGAGTGACGGGCCGGGGGGACAGCCAGCGGAGCGGACCCGGCTTAACCGGCATCACAGCAACGAGGACGGTGGGGGGGGGCGACCCGGCAAAAGTTGAGGGCCTCAGCCAAGGTAAAGCCACACCAAAGAGAGCACAATGCCCCGCCGCCTGCCCCCGTCCCCCAGGCGTTCTCCGAAGGGTCACCGCTCGCCCCGCTGAAGCCGGACCTCCGCGCCTGACCACTTTGCGCTGAGTCCCCCGGCCCCACGGGGCGAGGGACGGAGAGCCGACCCGACGTGCAGCCACCGGGCAACCGGAGGGGGGGCCCGCCCCGCCCACGCGCGCTGCGCTCGGTCCCCCCGCGTCCCTCCCCCCCCGCTCCGCCCGCGCACCGCTGGTTCCTTATTTTGACACGCGCACCGCGTTCTCACGTCTGGCCGGCCCGGAAGGAGCAGCCGGCACGCCTAATAACCCCCGCGCGTCCCTCCCCAATTGAGTCGGTGCCGGGGGCGGGAGCGTGGGGGGCTCACCCGCTTATGCAGCGTGGGCGAGGGACAGGGGGGCCGCGCCGGGGGGGCGGAGTGGGGGGCTCCTGCGGAGGTAGGCGGCGTGTTTAGCTGTTTGTTGGGTTGTAATGAGGGTTGTACCGTGTATTTCTGACGTTTTTGGTGCTTTATTTTAACTAAGATTCTGGTTGAGGTTTGGTAGTGGGTTGTTGGTACGGGATTCGTGAGTGACCAGACCCTGGGCTGCCATTCGAGTTTTTTAAGCTGCATGTTTTTTGACATTCCCACGTTGTGCCCCGCGAGGTACTATCATCCTTTCCGTGCCCACCAGGATTGTTTTCTTTATTTGGGCGGGCCGCGTCCCCATCTACGAATTGGTCGTGTTGCCTGCCCTGCCCTGTGGTTGTTACTGTGTGGTCTTGGTGTTGGATGGCTGCCGTTGGTGGCCGTGGGCGCCTGGTAAAGACCCACCCCGTCCCGAAAGTAGGGAAAGAAGGGAACAGCGCCCATATATAATGGATGGAAAGGGGCGGGGGGCGCGCTAGAGTTGGCGGGGTGTGAGAGGTGTGGGGCGGGCGGTTTGGGGTAGGCTCTGAGTTTTGTTATATAACGTGGTGGGTGTGCACTATGGTTACTTAGTTAATGTTGATTCGTCGTGGATACTAGTTTGGGGGGGTTAGGATTACCTCGTATATTTGTATAGCATAACTTGTGGGATGTTAAGATGAGCTGGACTAGGTATGGTGAGGATAGATTTGTATAGTAATAAGCCGGGTTAGGCTGTGTAGTCTTCATCTTGATGGGGCGCGACCACATGGTTGAACGGGACGAGGGGAGGGGGGGGGGGGGGGGGGGTGGGTATGGGGGGCAGGGGAGAGATGATAGCTGCGTAGCCGGGTTGGCTGAGTGGGGCGGAACTCTGGGGCTTGCGTGGCTTGGGGGCGATCCTAATAATATCCAAATATTTTATTATTTATATTTTCCAATATCCCCCACCCCTTTCTTTATTTTATTTGCCACACCTTGCGTGGGTGCGGATATGGTGGGTTAATGGGTTGGGAGGGGGGGCGGTTTTCGGACGGTACGCCCCGGGGTCGACCCGCCGGGGGGGGCGCGGGCGGGGCTTGTGGGGGGGGGGGGGGTAGGGGAGGGGGGGGGGGGGGGTCTTGCGTGGCGGGCGTGGGTCAGGACGGGGGTGGTAGCGGCACGGGGGGGGCCCTTGGTGAGTTCATTTGAAAACTCTCTGCGGTATTGTGCTGTGGACTGGGGTGGTGAAGTGATGAGGGGGGGTAGTTTTTTTGCGGGGGGGAGGGGCAGGGAGATGGCGGGGAGTGAGGATGTGGGGCATCGGCGGACGGGGTTTCGATGGAGGTATGGGGAGCGGGGGTGGCGGGAGGTGTGTTGGGGGGGGGCTGTGGTTCTTGAAGTGAGGGCGGACACTGGACGGTTTCGTAGGAGTTGGTAGCAGGGGTTGTGGGTGAAGTGCGGTGGAGGAGGGTAAGCGAGTGAGTTGGGGTCGAGGGGGGGGGGGGAGAACTAGCGAGATTGTGTTAAAAAACAGGACGCCATTAAAGGACATAGTATGCCGGGCATTTTGATGGCCCCTGTTCAGCGGCTCGATTTTCCGGGAGCGAGACCCCCCTGTGGCCACCCCCGCCCCCCCCCCTTTGGGCGTGCGCGCCCAATGGTAGACCCGGCCCGCGTCGTGGGTGCCGTGCCCGAGCGGTTATTGTTGGTGTTGCGTGCGCTGGCTGGGCGGGGTGACTCTCTGGACACTAGGGGCTGTACGTGTTGTTTGTCGCAGCCGGGTGTGGGGGGGAGCGCCGGCGGGGTGTTTTTTATGCTGGTGCTTTTTTTTTTTTTTTCCGTTTCTTTTTTTTTTATTTTTTTTTTGGCTTCGTCTCCTGCGCGCTCTTCCGTTATGTTGTTGTTGAGAGAGAGATACACACAGACTCGTGAGTCAACCGCAAATAACGCACGACGCGGCTAACGCTGAACAGGCATGCGCAATATGTATCCGAGTCACCGCAGTTGATGCAGTGAGACGAGTTCCTCTAGCTAGTGGCTTTTTTGTCCCAAGACATGTTGTCTAACTTTCATATTGCTTTCTTGGTGCCGCCATCACACACATGTAATGGACCGCAAAGATCGGTGCTGGAGGATGTATAGTCTGCGCAAGTCACCTTTACGAATGAGCCAGGTCTGGCATCCGTACCACAGTACAACACAACAAGTTACACGATAGACCCATCATTTGATGGAGAGACGAATGTCTTGTCGACGCCACAAGTGCCTCAGCCTAGGAAAAGCTAGGCGTGCTCCCGAGATTCGCATTGAAATCTCGTCAACAAAAGCCCCACGAATAATGAGGCAAGTTTCCAAATAAACACAACTCTCCACATCCTCCAGAGTCTCACCACAAAGAGTGAGTACAGGCACAGGTACCTGCCGGTCTTGAAAGACAGCCTTACATTTGGGTGGCGAAAAGTACATACCCTACTTTGGTGGTTCAATCGCCAAGCGGTTTAGTGCAAGTTGGACGGCGTGTGGACCGACGCCTAGCAAGATGATATCCTCGGCGTAATCCAAATCAACCACCCGACTACCTGGGAGGAGCGTATTCCAGAGCAGGAGTGACATGGTGAAAGAAATGTTGCTAAGTTTGTGCGGCGTTGCACCGACCAAATGGCATTCTTAAGTATCCAAACCTGCTAATAGGAGTGATGACGGTTGTTTTATGACTTTCGATTTCTTTCACAGGTATTCAATGATAGGCGCGAACCAGTTCGATCTTGCTAAAGACCGTCTTACCTGTGAGACATGCGGCAAGGTCCTGCATGTGTTGGATGGGTTACTTATTTTGGACAGTTAGCCCATTGAATGCGCGGCAGTCATCACAAGGGTGCAAACCCCCAGATTCCTTGGGATCATCTGCAGGGGCGAGGACTGTAGGACACCTTTTTGCATTTTGCTACACGAGCTTTGCTAGGACATTAACCTTAGTCAACTGACATTTTCACCATCTGCATCGACAAGCTTTCAAATGTCTAGGCAGTACATGATCGATACCAAGTTTGAGTAACCGGCAACTAATGTGCACCAACGTTAGCAGCGTACCTTCCCAGGCGTTTCTCTGTTCTTCCGTGCGTAATGTGTGGGAGAATAAAAGTACAACAATGGGAATACATGCTTTCACTTCCTTTTGGTATTCGAGAACAGTGGGTCATTAATTCCGAAATCCGCACCAAAGAAGCGCTCCTATAAAGAGGTGAATCCGACCTGAGTTCGGTGTTTCGGATTCAGCTCACATCATCCGCAATCGTATCCACTTTTGTTATTTTCACCATGTTATGTACGCGAATATGGCTGAGCAGCAACCAAGGGAAATTAGCACCGTATCTACTCGTTTACCAACAGGTTGGATACATTATCCCCAGCTTTGGTTACTTCAGGCTGTTATTTTTTGAAATCAATCATGTACATAAGGATGCCTCAAAGTTTCATCACGTAATTTCCCGAATCCAACCAGAAATCTTGCTTCTGGCACGGGACATCCTGAAGACAAACCCAAGGTACCAATAACTAAGGGAGTTGTTAGTTCGCGAGCCTAGCCTCAGTAAGCGTACTAAAGTGTAACGCCTACTCATGAAGAGTAATTAGGCGATCGCACCCCTACGCAACTATTGCGATCCATGCAAGCTGTGGTAGGTGATAACTCTTCAGAGAATTCAATTTTTAAGCAACTGTTTATGCAACGGCTCCCTACACAAGTGCAACGGATATTGGCTAGCGCTCATCAGAATATCGAACTAAAAGACTTATCACTTGTGGTTGATAAATTAATGGAGATACAATCGGCAACGACCTCAACTTTATCGTTTCTTGCATCTTACGGCCCACTCGCAAAAGCCGTGCGCTCCCTGCAAGAACAACTAGCTTCCATTCCCATCACCAGATGAACGAGCAACTCTGGATCTAAGCAACGGCGTTATCGGTGTGTTAATCGTTTCAGTGGCATTTGCTGGTACCACCGGACGCTCGGTAACAGGGCTAAAAATGCACAAACGTGTGCCGATTTTTCAACTTTGAAAAAGAACATGCCAGCTCGTAATGGTCCCCGGGTTGACCACATAGCAATAAGCTACAGAGAACGCGAAAGCGTAACAGATTGCCGGTCGTACTGGACAACTTCTCTGGACTCTGATCACGCACTGGTTCGTGCCAAAATATCAATGAGTTTCGGAGGATCATCCAGAGGTACGCACTACTGACCGAACCGCATCACCAGCATCATCAACAACAACAACAACAACAACAACAACAACAGTACATCAGTCATTTGAACTGATGCTTCGCTGCCATGCAACCACAATGACCTATGAAATAA